AGTTAAAAATCATACTTGCTAACTATGCATAGAGAAACACTTTGCTGCCAGATCTCTTCCCTACAAATCTACTCAATGAACAGGTTTAATTTGATCGCCCTTACCCTCCTGGCTCTCAAGCTTGCCCTTTAGATAGTATGTGTATGTAGGTAGCTTCTCAAATATACACCTGAAACAGTTTCACGAAGTTGCATATCCCCTTGTCTCAAAACAGTAATAAACTAATCACTTCAGTGAGTTTATCCACAACACCTTTCTCGGAGAAAAAATTCATCTATATTCGAACTCCTAAGCACATCGTATGCTCATCAAAAAACTGGCAATCAGCCTTTCTCGCATGCAAACCCTGGATAGCTTTTTTCCCATTTGTTTCTTCTATCGCGAGTCTACTGACTGATCCACTGTCGCATTGGAACTTAGACGCCCCCGACTGGCTTCACTGCGTATATTGCACTGTCAAGTGCAGCGCCAGTACAATTTCACTGTAGTGATAGATAGTGATAGGCATGAGAGGTGACAGTGATGGAGTCAGAACACAAAGTAAGATGAGCAAAAACCTTATCAAATTTCTTCTAAGTTTGCTCATAGTTTGCACTGATGCCGATTCAGGCAGAACGACATCAGTCGTGGTCAAGTAACTGCGATTTGGACCATTTCAATATAGGTGGGAACGAAAGGCTCCTGCAAGTAGCTTCGTGAAGCAAAAGTTCATAAAGTAACAGCCCTCTGCTAAAAAAAAAACGGCGCAAATCCTCATTCAAAGAAGATGTGACTGTCAGCCGACTTCGTTAGGATTACAATCAAGCAAACTCTAAATAGTTTTACAAATCTTATCCCTTCCAACTTCGATCAACCTAGTGGAATCTACAGAAAATGCACATAGACTTCCTCTCCATACATCTTAATCTATAAAGCTGTACGTAGAACGGGTCTTAATGAACACCCAAACGCTATTAACATCGAATTGTAGTTTCCTCTCCATAAGCCTCATAAGTCAACTAGGCTACATCACATCCAGGAGGAAAACAAGACGTTCTATCAAATGTTTGATGAGAAAACATCCGCAAATCTTTACCTGGAGCAGAAGTTTCACTCTTTCAATAGGGGCGACGGCGGTTTTCGAGATGGCTGCAGCTGTACCTCCAGTGAGAAGGTCGACGAAAAATTTCTTTGCATTAAAATTCTTTCTCTTTTTCATGAGCACCTCCGCGACATCACTCTTCTTCTTTTCAGTTGTTTCGGCCATTGTATACGATCTGAAACAAAAGGAATAATATCTTTATACAACACGACAAGTCATGCACAAACACGTCGGCAGCACAGGCCAGCCGTGTTTCAATGCGAGCGACGGTTAAAATACTTCTAATCGATTGGATGGCTGCCACGTCATCAACATCCAGACGCCGCA